AAGACGGCAAGGTGAGGCAGCAAAATTGCCTCTGTTGACCTATAGGAACAGAACCAAAGAAGAACCAAATGAGGACATTATGCAGTGCCTTTCAAAACTGGAACAAGATTTGAGTCATGAGTTTACCAGGTTGGTGATAAGAGGGAAGAGAGGCCGTAAAGTACCTGTGGTGCTTACCAGTGAGATGACAAAATCACTTGATTTCCTCATTGAACAAAGGAGTGAGGACAATGGCATTTTGGGTAGTAATGAGTACGCCTTTGCAAGACAGCATTCGGATTCTCATCTCCGAGGTTCAGACTGTTTGAGGAACTATGCAGCTGCATGTGGGGCAAGGAAGCCTGAAACACTCATGTCAACCCACCTGAGGAAACGTGTGGCTACACTTAGTCAGATAATGAACCTGAAAGAAAAGAGTTGGATCAACTTGCCATATGTATGGGACATGATATTCGTGTTCATCGTGAATACTATCGCCTAACCGAGAACACACTTCAGCTTGCAAAGATGAGCAAGCTGCTCATGGCAATCGAACGTGGAACTGAGGTCTACAAAGGCAAATCTCTTGATGAGATTGATTTGGGCATACAAAGTGAGTAGAAAATAGATTTCATAATAGAATGCAATTTATACTTAAAAATGCTGTTTGGTTTTTTTTTTGTTCTACTCACCACTTTAGTATGTGAAATAAGATAAGTTCACAAAATGTTGTTTTTATCAAAACAACTGCTCTGTCTTCTGAAGTTAGAGCTGTACAGAAGTCTCAAGTCAGTGAAAGTGACACAGAAGTCTTCAATGAGAAGTCTTTGGAACCAGCTCAAGACTCCTATGGTATGAAGCCGTCAGAGCTGTTACCATGAATATCAGCTTTCTTTCCTGTCTATAAATGACAGAAAGTAACTAAAAATGTCCATCCTGGTTACTTCTTCTCTTTAAGGGTCCTCCAAACGCAAGAGGTCAAAGATGGCATCTGAATCATCTCAAGTTTCAGACGGTATGAACATTTTTTGGGTCATGCAAGGAGCACTATGGAATGAAATATTGCATTATATGATAAGACAATGGTTCGTGGTTAATAGTGAGGTGACGTGTTCTGCTGCTGCAGAAGAATCAGACATGCTGACTCAACAGGCCTCAGCTACAGGACCATCACACAAGCTCAAAAGGACAGAGAAAACAGGTACTGCTCCGTTCTCAGACTTGAGTAGTGTTAATTACAGTAGATGTGGATTAACAACACATTACAAATTAGATCATCAGATAAATTTTTGTTTTATCAATATTGAGAATGTATATCACATTTGTCAATTCTATTTCAGCTGTGGACCTACAGTTACTCAGCAAAAACAAACCAGCACAGGCCGTGGAGTTTTGCAGAAAAAGTAGCGGTGTGGCGACAACTGGGGCAGTGGATCACTATGCAAAGAGGTCTGCCTCAAGGCACTTGAAGCAGACCTGGGCAGTCACAACTGGAAAGATTTAAAGAATAATGTCCACAACTCCATCATGTCTCAAAAACGGAAATTGTTGTAGTTCATTTTTAATTTATGTTGTGCAAATAAAACCAGTTGTGACTAATTTCGTGTGCTAAATTGTTTATCAAGCTTCTATCAATGGAGTGGGTGAATTAAAATAGGTAAATTAGAGGACTTTGACAAACATTGCTTTCAATTTTACTGGTGTCAAGCAAACTTAGCAAGTGACATGTAAGATTGAAAAAAACCTAAAGTTTAGATATCTGCAAAACTACCCAGTTTTAAATGCAGAGATGCATACCATATACCATTTTTATAATACATTTTTTAATACATGTAAATACAATCAAATTTAACCCTTGTGTTGCGTCCAGGTCAAATTGACCCTTTCTTAGATTTTTACTAACAGAAAACTGACAAAAGAAAAAAAGCTGTTGACCTGAGCCTACGTGAACTATACATTATATTTACATATAAATAATCTGAACCAAAGCCCCATGAACTCTATGCTTCGTTATCACCAAGGAGTAGCGCGGGAATGGAGCTCCATAGTGGGGGAAAGGAACTGGCTAGCTCCCCTGGTGAAACAGAGCTCCCGGCACACCGGTTGATCCTGTGTACCCCGTTATCACCAGGGAGTACCCCGGGAATGGAGCTCCATAGTGGGGTGAAAGGAACCGGCTAGCTCCCCTGGTGAACTAGAGCTCCAGGCACCCAGCTAACCGGTTGAACCTGTGTACACACGCTTAAGCCCCCTCCATGGGCTAAACAATTTAAAACCGCCCGGCCACAACTTCGTGCCCCTGGTACTCCAAATGGAGTTTCATGCCTCTGGTATTACACTGTGTGGGAACAGAAATTTTTTCTAAGTCCCAATATTGAGAACCAGGACCACAGGTCATTAATTTTTCTAAGTCCCAATATTGAGTACCAGGACCAGTCCAAAACATAAAACGCCACACAAGGGTTAAATACCCTTTACAATGGCAAAATTAAAAACCACATGCTTCCATCTCTGTAATGCTGTGGTTTGGGGTTAACCAGGAAAGTAAGATGGGACAGTTATGAAAGATCTGCTAAAATCTGGTGATATAACATGCATTGTTTTGGTGCTTTGTGACAGAAGGTCCAGTTCACCAAATCTGCTTGGCAACAGGCTCCAGTCCTCACACGTGTAGGAGAAAAAGATTTTTTTTATTTCGAGTTTTCTGAATTCTGAAGTGACATTTTGATTCTCTATTGTCACCTCATGATAGATTTGTGTTTTATATATAAATCTTAATGTGTAAATGTCATACTGTATACTGTTTACTATTATTTATCTACTTTTCATTTCAGTGGTCACGGTCACTGTCAGGATTTTAGTGCATAAGCCAGGATCCGTTTTGAATGACAAACAAAAGGCATCTGCAATTACTGGGACTATTCAGAAAGATCTGTGAGCATGACAGAATCAAATTAAACTCTCTGTGAATCCATCAGATATTTGAATGAACACTCTTTGGCAAAGAAACACAATTTTGTACTGCTTTTTTGCATTGTTTGCACTGTTTGTTGCTTGTCAATACTGCTTATTTTGTTATTACACAGCCTTATGTTGGTTTACTGTTTACTTGCCCCTTGCATGGGGATATGTAAATGCACATTGAGAGCCGATGTACCAGAGTCAAATTTCTCGTGTGTCCGACACACCTGGCCAATAAAGCTGATTCTGCCTGTGTTTTCAGCCAACTATGCTTGTCCTTCATAGTGCTCTGGGATTCTCAACCTATAAAACAGGCATTATTCTCCTAAAGTACTGTATAGTGATGCAGTTTGATGGAATATTCTACAAGGACTCTGTGCGAGGTGTGGGTCCTAAGGGGAATGTCACAGCCCTAAGCTCATCTCCTGCTACCACCAGATCTGTGAGAGCTGTTCACTGTCCCTGAGGAAAATCACGAGGCCAGAACCGGGAAGGAACATCAGACAGGAGGAAACAATGAGCAAAATACAGAAGACAGGAGGATGGGAGGAACAAACAACAGAAAGGATGCATGAAGGAAGAAAGAAAAGGAAAGAAGGAACAAAAACAGGAAGAAAGGGAGGAGAGAGGAAAGAACAAAAGGAAGAAAGAAAAGGGAGGGAAGAACAACACATGAAAGCAGGGAAGATTGAAGGAAAAACAACAGGAAGACGTGGAGGTGGACAAGGACATAAGGAAAGCCAGGTGGAAGGAAAGAATGACATGTAAAACAATAGATACAGGGAAGAAAGGAAGGAAATGAAAGGAACAGAAGACACAAGGAAGGAAAGAAAAAAGGCAAGACCAACAAAGAGAAAGAAGGTAGGCTTTAGTTAAGGGGCTTAATTCATGCAGGTTGTTCGAATGATTCTTGCCCAAACCACCTTTGTTGAATCTCTCCTTTCTACCACTATCTGAATTTATATTAAACAGGACAGCTGTTAGATAAACAACTAAGGAAGAAAGACATACAAGTAAAAAATTAGGTAAGCCAAGAAATATTGATGCACCTATCACCTTCAGCATTTTAAGTATTAAAACCTCGGTTTACTTTACAAGAGTTTTGATAAATCCCATCAGCCTGTAGTACAATCTCAACACTGAACAACTCCATATGTCTGATGCTGACTTGTAGGCTGAAGAATTACACAGTAAACATGATCCTGTTAAGACAGCTTTGCAAGACTGACACTAAAAAGCTTTTTTGAGACTGATGTCAACAGTCACATAAAACAGGCACCTTTTTCATAGCTATGGGTAAATAACCTGCCACACTGCAGTACAAGTTGCAGTACCTGTAGCTGGCGGCATTCAATGAAGGTCACAAGAACCCCTCACTTTTTATGCTATTAAAGGCAGCAATCTGTGGGGAAGCAATTAAAACCTTGGACAGCCCAACACTTGTTTGGAAACACTGATTAGTAATTTTCTTTGGATATATGACATTTAAAAAAAAGCATAAAGGATACAAGGAAGTAAGAAGGAAACAAAGTGAGGAAGCAAACAAAGAAAAAGAAGGAAGAATGGATTCAACTGAATAAGAGAAGAGAGGATGGACAAAAACCAACAGTGAGAAAGAGACATTTGGGAATTGTCAGGCGATTCTTATTTCAACTGAACCATTATTTTGTTTAACATCTTTTATTCCATATTAGATATTTGATTCCTCTTTTATTCTCCAAGTATTTGCTCATTAAGGTGATGCAGATCATGCCTAAAATCAAATAAGATAGCTTGAGTGCTCCTAATATGAACACAGCCAATAGAAAAGAAGACACTCCCTCTGTTTATTAACAAGTATGACTGTGTGTGTGAGTGAGTGCACCATGTTCTGACCTTGAATTTCTCCTGCAGGCAACAAACAATCACAAGTCTTTCTCCTCCTCCTCCCATGGATGAATGTTACAAGGTGATGTGTTTGTGTGCTGAGGAAAACCTTGTACGCTTAAACCTCTCACCCATTCACCTGCAGGAAAACAATGAGGAGAGGCAGAGAGCAATCATAGACATTTGTGTGTCTTCTTATCCTTTTATTTGAGAAGAACAGAACACTCTGACTTGTGTCCAAACCCTGCCTGGCTGAGGTCTGGAGTGAGATACACTCTCTTACAGTAGTATTGTTTTGAGGAAATTATTTACATGCATGATAAAGATATATAATACATAAGAGGGCATGCCTCTTTGTGTCACACTGGCTTGTAAATCACTTTCTATGTTTTCCAGGCAGGTGAAACATTGCTCAGTCACCAGCCATCTTCACTTTGAGCTAAGTGCTGTGACAGTTATTGCATGACAGTGCCATCCATATCTATTCACATGGAAATTCATAATTTATGGCACATTCTTGTTTCTACCTCAAGGAAACTAAATGCTATTATCCAGCTAAAGTGAGATTAGATTGAGCAGCTGCTATCTCAGTTGTTTCTTTAAAATCTCATTTCTTCAAGTGTCATTCTACATTCTGTGAGCCAAAGCAGCACCAACCCAAACCCTCCTGCATCCTTCCCTCAAAATGTCAACTGCAAACCTTTGCCTGAGAGTAATTGCTTTAGGGTGTTAGAGTTTGTGATGAGATATATGGTTTCATATATCTCAGCAAAAACTCTGTTTGTTGAGTGACAGACCCTCTATCATCCTTTCTGTTTTGGCCTCCATGTTGCACAGAATATCCCCTCAGAACAATGATAGTATATTTTCAGTCAACCAGCTGCTCCCATACTTTAGGCTTAGTCAAAATAAACAGAGTGGTATAAATACATTTCACATGTATTTGGTGAATGCACTATCATTCAATGGTTAAGAAAATTTAAAAAGAATATTGAAAACTCATATGGGCCATAGCCTTGAATCATGGCACTGCTGTAACCTTTAACCTAAAACCTAAAAAAACAAACAAAAAAAAAAACAATGTGTCATTATGTCTCTAGGCTGCCTAGCTGCTTGGTAAGCTAACACATGATGTAAGCTTAACAAAGCATGTTACATGTTACAATACATCACTGATTAACATGAGTAAGGAATTGTCTGTGATGTAATGAATCATCTTGTCAAGCTTTGTAGGGTAGCTAGTTTTTAATATGCTATGCATTAGCTCTGTCTGTCTCTGTCTCCCTAGTTTTTTATACAGCTTGTCTCAGTGGTAGATTGTACTGTATGTTGCACAGTGTATTTTTTGTTGCAGAATAACAGTGTGTCATCAGCAAAAATAAATAAACATTTTATTTAAGTAATGTAATGAAAATATAATATTTTTTGCTACCAGATGACCTTATTTGATTTGAATAAAAATATTTGCTTATGTTTTATAATTCGCACAAGACTAGCACATCAAGCTGTCATAAATGGAAATAAGTGCTGAGGTTTGAGACAAAGTTAAGCTCTGTGGAGTTGGTTTGTGGAGCTGCAGCTTGGGTTGGTAGAGGAACCTAAGAGTTCAAGCTGTCACTCGTAAGCGTGTTTCCTGCCCACTGTTAAAGAACCTACCTTGGTGCCTGCTTTGATGTATTACCTCTGTCAAGTGTGCTTGATAACACTGTCACAATCACCTCACCTGTCAAACTGACTCCATTTACTTCACAGTAAGACTTGTAAATGAAGTTGTAGGCTAAATGAAAGTGTCTATCCCAATGTCTGAAAGAAAATCAGTTTTTAGAGATATCAAAACTATCTGGCCTTTTTGGATTGTGCAGGTCACTTGGGAGGGGACAGAAGCCTGAAGGTAGAAGTATATTGGAAACCTACACACACGGACCAATACCTGCTTCTTGACTCACACCATCCACTTCAACACAAACTGGGAGTCATCAGAACTCTAAATCACAGGGCAGAGGAAGTGCCCACAACTGCAGAAGGGGCCAAGAAGGAGAAACTACACATCCAGAACTCCCTTATGGCTTGTGGATACCCCAAGTGGGCCTTCACCAAAGCAAGGAAGAGGCCCAACACCAATAAGGAGAAACCAGAAACAAGAGGGGATAACACTGTCATCCCTTTTGTGGCTGGTTTATCAGAGAAGTTAAAAAGGATCTTTCACAACCACAATATCCCAGTCAACTTTAAGCCAGGGAACACCCTGTGGCACCCGAAGGACAAAACACCCAGACATAAAGTGATGTTGTATATGCAATTAAGTGTAGTCAGGAGTGTAACAACTTGTACATTGGTGAAACTAAGCAGCTGCTGCACAAACGTGTGGCCCAACACAGGAGGGCCAACTCCAGTGGACCAGAATCAGCAGTCCACCTCCATCTGAAGGACAAAGGACATTCTTTTGAGGACAGTGAAGTCCAGAGCCTCTCCAGAGAACATCGCTGGTTTGAGAGAGGAGTCAAGGAAGCTATTTTTGTCCAAATAGAACACCCCTCACTAAATAGGGGTGGTGGACTAAGACACAATTTGTCATCCATCTACAACTCTGTTTTGAGATCTTTGCCTAAACATGCCCACCAGGACAACAGGTGTCGGTCCACAGGTGAGGGTTCAAAGACAGGTAACGACACTCACCGATACTGGGCTATAATGACTCAGTTGTTAGGAGACATTGTTGGGCATCAAAAGGATGATGAAGCCTCTTGGATGAGAGGTGAAACATCTTCAACCTAAAAACCTAGTCCAGTTGATTTTTCTAAGTTTTTTCAGCTTCAAAAGTCAAGCAACACCAATAAACCCAGTATCTGGGGGTATTTGATCTCTTAAGATTTTTATGGTAGAAGATAGGCCCTGTCTATTTTTTTTATGCATTTGCCCACCAAGATCTTCCTGGGCAGCTACAGTGTCTAATAAACACATCAGCCTGAATCCATCCCCATCTTTCTCTTATATTTTCCAGTCTACTGCCTGCCATACCACTGCTTCATTTGAGATTCTCTCCACTCTTTGTAGGAGATAGCTCTGCACCTCCATAAGCAGAAAGGTTGACCAAGAAATCTGCAGAACTGCAGAAGGTCATTGAGAGTTACATCCCTAAAGGTGATGCCATACTGTAAGTCTTTTCTCTCCTACCCTAAGAGATACTGGTAAATATATGGTAAAAGTCTTTTTGTTGTTAAATAGATTAAAATTCACATTTTAAATGTGTTCTCTTGTGCTTTAGAACAAAACATAAATTGTAAATAGATGTCTCTTGTAGAAAGAAATTCTTGATAAAATGATATAGTGCTATGTTAGGTGTTTGCAAAACTGTTTATTTTTTCTTAAATATTGATTGTAATAAATATCTCAAAGGACAGATTTGTCTTTGAGCATTCTTCATAAAAGGACACGCAGGACTGGTTTAGCCCAACACTCTTGGTAAAACTTATCCATTGAAGAACAAAAACGACAATGTGCACAAAATTGTCCTATATTATTGAGAATTACTGACCATGTATCTTGTTTTGTGCTATTTCTCAAATACTTCTGGTGCTAGAAGGTAGAGTTTGCTTCAAACAAACTACAGTAGGTCATACCAACAACGTTCATTCATTCATTCATCTTCTATACCGCTCAGTCCCAAATGGGGTCGCGGGGGGAAGGGGCTGGAGCCAATCCCAGCCAGCAATCAGGCGAAGGCAGGGTACACCCTGGACAGGTCGCCACTCCATCACAGGGCCTGCCAACAATGTTGCCATGCAGAAATAAATGGAAAAAGGCTTTTGCTTGTTCTAAATGACAACACTCAAAGGTGGGGCAAAAAGACATTACTGCCTCATTCATGTCTGCATTACTCTGTCTCTCAAAGAGCTCATCTTTTTGTGTCTACATAGTTTGTACACACTGAATCACATAAATTGGGATTAAAGGAACAGTTTGAGATTTTCAAGTTGGTGTTAAAACAACACTGATATTTCCATGTGTACATGAGAATAAATGGTCTTGGTCATCATCACTTTTCCTACTCTCCACACTGACCCTGAATGTTTCCACCCTGAGCATCACTATGCTGCAAAAAATGGGAGAGAATGACTCTTGCTCTGTAAAAACATGAACTCCAAAAGTTCATCATCTGAGGCTCAAATGCAGGGAGCTAATGGCCACACAGCGGACCATGAAGCTGCCGCACTGGACAAAGCACCACAGTTAGCTCTTTGCCGTTAGCCTAACAAGCTCGCAGACTGTGGACAAAGCTTAAATTTCCATTTCTCTGCAAGTTTATGCTTGTTTAGCAGGTATTTTGCTAAATTACTCCCACTGGCCTTTTACTTGAAGGTTTTTATTGCACAAATATTAAAGGGCAAACAGCTCTCTATCTCCACTGTTGTGTGTGTCAGAGCTGAGCACCATCCACTCTCATTCAAACATCAACACAAAGGAGAACCAGCGCCATAAACACCAAAACCATATTCTCCAATCCACCACTGTCGCTCAGTGGTTTTTGATAAAATGTTCCTGTAGAGCCCTAGCACAGTAGCACCAGTTCTCCTATTTGATAGTGAGTTGCTACATCTACTACAGCCTACAGTTTGCTAGCTATCTAGTTATGCCATCACCCCGCAAATGCATACATGCTATACCTTATTACATCCATGATGAGAACAGATGACACATTTCTGTGATTGGGCGCGGCTTCAGTGTCTTCACCCGACATCACTTTATTGTTCTCAGCATTAATTGTCTTTACATGCATGTATGTGGCCAGTCTTTTCAGTGTTTTCTGAGCAATGCTACATATTACAGTAGTTTACACCGACTGAGTAAAGCCAACAATGCACAACTGAGATGCATCTCACAATTGTGTGCCTTTCTCTGCCCTCATTACTGAGACACCTAGAATCTATATGCCTGAGTTCCGACAGTCAGATTAGTACACGATTGTACATGCAACGGAAGTACACATGGATGCATGCATTCAAACGTGGTCATAACACACTCTTGTGCATCTAATTGCACACACAAACCAAAATCCATCCACATCTGTAAATATAACACACAGACTCAGTAATCATAATAATTGGCTTTAAGTGCCTGACTTTCTACCCCACGTGAGGT